TACTACTACTACTACTACTACTACTACTACTATGATTACTGCTACTACTAATAATAGTAAGAAGAAGAAGATGAAGAAGATGGTGATGATGATGAAGAAGTATTTATTAGTTGAACTTACACCATTATGAATATTAATAAGTAAAAAGATTGAATAATTAATTATTAATTTAATTTAACGCCAATTTCGTACGTTCATTCATTTTAATTGAATAATTACATGACGTTTTTTTTCAAATTTATATTCATGTCATTCTTTAGTGCAATGTTTTAAAATGTATTTTTCTTTCTATTGTGTTTTTCTATGTATGTATTCATATATTTTTTGTATATACAATACTGTATGTATGTATTTATGTGTGTGTGTGTGTGTGGAGTGTGTGTGTGTGTGTTTGTATGTGTATTGTGTGTGTTTGTATGTGTATTTATGTATGTATATATACTATTTTTACTTGTTAAGTCGTTATTGGCATAAATCCGCGTTTCGTTTCACTTATATTTTTTTCATTTTTATTATTAAAAAATTAAATTTCTAATATATATATATATATATATATATATATATATATATATATATATATATATATATATATATTGTATGTATGAATTCTACCGATCCTCTACTGAAAATGATTTGTGAGAAATCGAAAATAACGCCTATCTGGCTGATGAATTTGCATAACGAACGTTTCATTAAATTTTCATGATGAACTAGGATGAATTTGGATGAACTCGGAGAACTATCTTCAACAAACTGAACAATTTCTAGAATATTCTAGTAAGTAAAATTGAAAAGACAACACTCTAAATTGATTAATTCCAACCATTCGGCAGAATTCATACAATACTGTATATATATATATATATATATATATATATATGTTGGTAATAGTATATATATATATATATATATATATATATATATATATATATATACAACTTATGTACAAGATGCGTTCAATAATGTGAATAATTACATATATATATATTATATTTTGTCATATATATTATTATGTGCGTGTGTGTATATTATATTATAATATATTATATTATTAACGATTAATATTTTTATGGGATTTTTGTAATAAACTAAAGAAAAGACTTTATTGTCATGAAAAATAAATACCCAAGTTAAAAATAGCCAACCAATACGATCGATTTTAATTAGTTCTAATTGGCCAGCCAGCCAATCAATCATTCAATTAATTAACTACTTAATTAATTAGTTATATATTTAATTAGGTAATTAACTTTCATGATGTTATTTCTAAGTGCGTTTAGCCTCTTGCTCATTTCAAACTTTCTCACGATGCCTTTAAAGGATCGTGCAGTTTAGTGTTAATAAAATTAGTAAAATTATTCAAGCAGTGCGATACACACACACACGCACACACACACACACACACAAACACACACACAAACTCACACACAGACACACACACACAAGCTCACACACAGACACGCAAGCACACAAACTCATACACATACACAAACACGCACACGTGCATTAATAAAAATAAATTATATATAGTAATAATAAAACGAATAATTACATCAACAAATAATAATAAATTTTTTAACGTTACGAAATCTTAAAATTTATTGACTAGGTAAGTCGGTTTTAATAAATCAGTAAGCTGTAATTAAATTGTTGTTGTTGGTGTAATGTAGTTGCTGTTGATGTGATGTTGTTACTGTTGTAAATGATGATGTTGTTGCTGTTTATGTGATGTTGTTATTGTTGTTGATGTTATGTTGTTATAGTAATAATGACCTTGTTTTCTATTGAACTGTTCAGGTGGCTAAAATCATCATCACCATCATCCACATCACCATCTTCATCCTCTTCTTTTTCTTCATCCTCATCATCATTACCATCATCGTCGTCATCATCATCATAATTAATTTTATTATTTTGCTTCATCATAATTTAGCTCAGACAAACTCGGCATGATACAATTTTAAAGTATTTTATTTCTTTCTCTCAATCCATTTAAGAAAACTCAGCACGTTTCTACATACATACATACATACATACATACATACATACATACATACATACATACATACATACATACATACATACATACATACATACATACATACATACATACATACATACATACATACATACATACATACATACATACATACGTACGTACATACATACATACATACATACATACATACATACATACATACATACATACATACATACATACATACATACATACATACATACATACATACATACATACATACATACATACATACATACATACATACATACATACATACATACATACATACATACATACATACATACATACATACATACATACATACATACATACATACATACATACATTCAAACTAACGAAGGCCTTATGAGTAAATTCATACATACATACATACATACATACATACATACATACATACATACATACATTCAAACTAACGAAGGCCTTATGAGTAAATTCATTTCTTTTCGATCACTTCTCTTCGATTCGTTCTCACATTTTAGAAAGAAGTTAAATAATTTTCGAATGATTTTTACAAAATAATTAACTTATTTTAATTAATTGATCAATTTTCTCTGACTTATTAAGTTTATTTTTCAGATAAAATTTTGAAATTTGGTTGAAAAAATTATAGAACCAAAGTTTAGTTTTGCTGATGAAATAATTTTCCCGTCTAAAACGTAAGCCACTACATAATTAACAAGTAACTTGTGCCATTAGTTGCTTAATTAATTAACTAACTAACTCATTAATCAACTAATAGATCATTTATGTAATAAATAAATTAATTAACTAAATAGATCATTTAATTATCAATAAATACATCCACGTAATTTCAAATTTTTGTGATCCACCCAGCCAATCAATCGGTTCCTACTCGCCCACATCTCAACTTTCCTACCACGATGTACTCTTTCAACAACAACGGCTACGACAACCAGCAACAACCGCAAGTCCTCAGCAACAAATACATCAGCAACATCAAAAGAGACAACGACCACAACGACCTCAAACCACAGCAGCAACAAAACGTCGGCGCTTTTTCACCGCCTGCCTACCCAACACTGAAAAGCACCACTCATACCGATTTCGTCTCGAAAACTGCTGTACCGAAATTGCTTGATATGACAAATGAACATGGCGCAAATGTGGTCTACCCGACGAGCGTCTTGAACCCACGCCCCTACCAAAATGGGGTAAAAAACCCCTTAGACTATCAACCATCCATTCACCCTCTTTACCCTTATTCTGGTGGTTTACAGAAAGGACAGGTTTTCTGTTCTGTTTGAATGTGTTTGTTTACTAATTATTTGCAAAGAATTTGCAATATTAAAAAATATTCGTTTAAATAATATTTTTGTATAGGTGTATGGATTGAAAATTTGAAAAAAACATCATTCCAAATTCCACTTAAATCCCGAAAACAGGGCTACACAAAACTGCAGCCGTCAAACTCGCCACCCGACGCCGCCGGCTCTGTAGAAACGAGTACCGAGGCAGATACCGAATTTATCGAAAAGTACTCGTAAGGTATTTAAATCGCCGAATCTAAACGGATCAGCCGGTACTGCAGGGATCAACTGGCACATTTACATGTGCCTGGCTTGCTGTGTTCTCATTACCATCAATCCTGTTTTTGGACTCTTGGCATTTTTATTCATCTGTTAGTAATCCAGAGTTTTAATTCCTCTACTTTATTGTTCAAAAATCAGTTTATTTTCAGTAGATGGCGTTTACTTTGACTAGAAATATGGTTCAGATAGTTTAAATGTTGCGTAATGATGTGCGTGTTTTAGTGTATAATTGCGTGCGTGCGTGCGTGCGTGTACGTGTGAGTGTGTATTCAGAAACGATTTTTAATCACCAACAAATCGCCACCAAAAATATCCATTTGACTCATAAAATAGACTTGGGCAAAGAGCAAGAGAGAAGTGGCGTGGCCGGTGGTGCAATGAGACACGCGCACACCTCCCTATGTGCCTCTGTACTTGGCATCATCGTCACCATCCTCATCATCATCGCCGTCGTCGTCATCATCAACACCTACAAAGTTTATCCTTGAAAATGGTGAAAAGGAGAGAGAAGGAGAAAGATAGATAGATAAAGAGAGAGAGAGAAAGAAAGAGAGAGTAAGAGAGAAAGAGAGGGAGGGAGAGAGAGAGATGTTTCATTTTAAAGTACAATTATGAATCAATGATTTATACTTTATAAGATCATTAAAATAGTTATACGTTTATTCTTATTTAGTTCCTACGTTTCATTCAACTAAGATTGGACACGCACACAGACACAAGTATGCACAATTGCACACGGACGTGTATATGTATGCACACGGACGTGCATTTAAACCCTTGCATGTACTGATCGCTACAATATACTTTTTAAAATAATTTAAATCCAAAAGCCATCATCTGCAATACAATACTTCATTTTTATACAAAAAATATTTTCAGTGATAGCTCGATTGAATAATGCTTGAAAAAATAATCATTAAACCATAAAAATTAATTTTAAATTAATCAATCATAAATAAATAAAAAATGTATATATATATATACGTATATATATTTATGTATGTATATATATATATATATATATATATATATATATATATATATATATATATATATATATACATATTGTTAAGCAACTCGATAAATTATAGCTGATTTTTTTTCAAAATGATTAAAAACTAAGTAAAAGTAACTAAAATAACAATGATAATAAAATAATAATAGTTAATAATTAATAATAATAGTAAACTATTTATCTTTTCGTTTTTTCTTCGATTTTTTTGACTTTTTAGATTTTTCCGAAGAAGTTTCTTGGCCTGATTGAGCTGTGGTATCTTCGTTTAAATTTTGATAAAAAATATTACCAAATAAAGACATTTTAAATGATTTAAAATAAATTAATCTGATTTTTAAAATAAATAAATAGATTTATTTATAATTAATAAAATCAATTTTCGTTTTTTTCTAAATTTGCGTTGGATTTATTTTAAACAGGAATATCTATTATCAGATCTCTGCGAGCCTGAATTGAATCACAGAAAATAAAATGAACATAAAAGATAGGTAACAGATAAAAAAAGGAGAAGAAAAGAAAGAGAGAGAGAAATATCGACTAACTTTTTTTGGATTTGCCCTTTTTAGGTTTATGTTCATCACTCTGTTTATTGTGTTCGTCAGTGTGCCTTCTGTGATCGTCAGCGATGGCTTCTGTGTTGATTTTTTCCCATTTTATGTCGTGTTATACACCGTTTTGCGCGCATTTGGTTGTTGTTATTTGGGTATTTGTTATTGTTAGTTGGGTATTCTCAATAGTTGTATTACATGATTTTTATTAACCGCTGTGTGAGCCTAGGTGATAGCAGACGTTTTCATTTAATGAAAAGAGCGTTGAACATGAAAGTAAGATCTAGTGCATACAGAAGTAAGGATAAGTCATCCGCTTATTTTCAAATCTCGCAACTAAATTTTTGTATGTAACTGAATGTTTGACTAAGCTACCATTGTAAAACAAATAAAAATACAAAAAAAAATAAATAAAATAGAAGCGGAACAAACTCGAATTACGACTAGCAGAGTGTTCTTTATCTTTATGTGACTTGGAGTGTTTTTGTGGTTGCTGTAGCAACTGTGGTAGCTTCGATTTATCTTCTTCTGGAACTTGGGTAACAAAATTTTTCTTTTCTTCAACATTACTGCTTTCTACTTCGCTTTCATCTCCAAGTTCCAACTCTTCTAACCCTTCGAAATTTTCTTCCTCTGATGAGGTTTCTGAGGTGTCCAGTGTGACTGGCTGATGTGCGGATCTTTTCCGAACTTTTGTTTCATTCAAGTTTGTTAATATTTTTTTTATAAAATTGGCTAATTTTTTTAAAATTCTTATTAAATTATAAGTTGTGTATTAACATATGAAATAATATTTCAAATATTCAACATGTTAAAAGCCAGCCGACCAACTATAGCCAATCAACCTACCAACCAACTAACCAACCAACCAACCGTTAATGAAAATCAAAATGACGATGACCACAATCCCAAGAACGGCGCCAACGATGTTGAGAACGAACCACAAAGTATTACTTTCCTGGGTGCCGGGCCTACTCACGGTATCAATCTTCGGTATAGCGAACATGCTCGGTGGTACGACAACCTCTGTTGAATTTGTTGTCGTCGTCGTCGTCTCGTTGACTAATGACATAGTTGTCGGTTCTTTAGCTGTTCTATCGAGATTTGAGTTGAAACTATCGTTATTTCAGCATCTTAATCCGTTCGTTGGTGAGAATTTTTAATAAAACTGGCGCGGATTTTGTTAAGGTTGTGATAATTGGATACGGTATTATTTTACTTCTACGTACTGCGTATGCGGTATAATTATTCTTTAACGTATTTTGAAATGGTGTATGCTCATTTTTCTAGAGTGTGTATTGTTCTTTTAGACAGCTCTCTAATTCATTCGCTTTAATTCCAAATTAAAATTTTCAAATACATTTTATAAAGTGCGGAAATACCACTGGATATTACAAAGTTAGATGTTATTAATTATCTAATTATGAATATTATTATTATTAATATCACCCTGGATTATCGTAATTATTAGTATAATTATAATCATTATTATAATAATTATTATTATTGTTATTATTACTATTACTGGTGATACATCTGCTATTGTTTACCATGTTTTCATAGAGTAAACAAACGAAGTATAAATAATAATAACAACAACAACATTAATAATAATAATATAGCGTTATTGGAAATTTAATAGACATTATAAATACAAACATACGTACATACATACATTCACACAAGCACACACACACACACACACAGACATTAATGAAAAAGTTTAAAAAATTAATGAATATGATACAATTGACATTGGTTGGAAAAGCCAGACTATCCATGTATATATCCATCTGCTATGTATCATTCATGTTCATACAAATGAAATTTGATCAAAAAATCACGAACAAACAATACAAAAAAACATGCAAAGATATACAAATACTGATTATCATACAGCATACAATTTACATTGTATATATACAAACGATGTTGTAATATGCTTAACGCTTACAAACTAATATAATAATACACATCAATCTATGTCTTAACTCTCTACAAAAATCCTGAAAACAGCAATGAAATATGTAAACCACACACAATCGCGCGCACACACACACAATCGCACACACAATCGCACGTACACATACACAAAACACACACACAAAACACGAACACACACACACACAACAATCAATAAGGAATTTGATTCTGTATGTACTGGATCATGTCGTACGTCTTGCCGCGAAAACTCTGATAGCAGCTATAAATAACTTTCAGCATCTCCTGGGCAGCTTCCTTCTCGGAATGATTCGGGAAGAAACGAGCCCTCAGCTGCTTGATGGTCCTTCCCCGGAAACACGGAAGTCCGGTGTCCAACATCAGAGAGACCAATGAGACGACGGACTCTCTGTGTTGCCTGGTTTGGGTTTAATTTTGTGTGTCAGTTTCTGTGTGTGTGTTTGTCTGTTTGTTTGTGTGTGTTTGTGTGTGTCTGTCTGTTTGTGTGTGTTTGTGTGTGTTTGTGTGTGTCTGTCTGTTTGTGTGTGTTTGTTTGTTTGTTTGTGTGTGTGTAGGTGGAGTGCGTGTGTGTGTGCGTGCGCGCGCACTTCAATCATTTTATCAGTAAGAATTAAAAAAAAAACATTACCTTGCAGATAAATTTTATTAAATTTCTTTCAAACTTAACACTTGAAAACATCGTCAACGAAATTAGTTAGATGTTAATCATTCACCTGAGAGCTAAATATCCCCTAACGCAGATCTCCTGGAACCATTTGTAGGGCGCGGCCTCCATGGAACCTCCCATGATGAGCACCATCTCGTCGTTCAGTTTGAAATCTGGCTCCCACCCCATATTGCCTCCTGGCGAACTTTCGAACATGAAGCCAAAGTCTGCATTGTGTTTGTGTGCGTGTGTATGTGTTTTTTAGTGTGTATGTGCATATACAACAAAAACAACCAACAACGACATGGCAACAACAACAACATAGCCAACAACAACCAACCAGCAACAACCAACAACAACCAACCAATATGTATGATATGTCCCTGGCTATCAAGCATTATATTGCCATTGTGCCGGTCCTTGATCTGCAGTATGTACGTTATCACGCTGTAGGCTGCCATACTCATCACAAAGTTGCGTCGTGCCTGGATGGTTGGTTGGTTGAGTGATTGATTGATTGATTGACTGACTGATTGATTGATCGATTGATTGATTGATTGATCAGGAGACAGACAGGACAGACAGACAGACAGGACAGACAGACAGATAGATACGTAGATTGGCCGATTGAATGGTTGATCGGTTGGGTGAAAATACATAAATTGATTGATTGAGTGAATAATCTTTATCATCATTATCATCCTCACCATCACCACAATCCATCATCATCACCACCATCATCACCACCATCATAATCATCATCGTCGTCATCATCGTCATCTACTTACATTTTGAAATGTCGATGTAGATTCATCGCCATACTTCGTGATGAAATAATCGTACATGCCTATGTCAGTCTGCCGGCCTATCTGATCTCGCGACCGACTGTCCGGCACACATTCAATCACTCCGCACTGGATGGATGAATGAATGAATAAATAAATGGATGGACGAATGAATGAATGGATGGACGAATGAATAGATGAATGAATGAACGAACGAATAAATGAATGAATGAATGAATAAATGATTGAATGAATGAAACCCACTCCGGGTGAGGTGGCAACCACTCTGTATGGGAACAACTTCATTTCAAGACCTACGCTTTCAACGACATCTTTGAAGAATGAGATAATTTGCAGAGCCAGCATATCCTGTTGTGTGGTGTGTGTGTGTGGTGTGTATGTGAGTGTGTCTGTGTGTAATAAATAGTGCACATGGTGTATGTGTGTGTGTGTGTGCCCATAAATGTTTGGTGCGTTTGTTCGATGTGTGTGTTTTGCAGCGCGTTTGGTTTATGCGGTGTACAACGGATACAACAGATACAAAAGATACAACACATACATGTGATACAACAGATACAAATAATACAAGAGATACACAAAAGATACAACAGATACATAACAGATACACTACGCACCTGTCGAACATCATCTCCAACTTTGAATATGGAAGCAGTCCAACATTCCGAACTCTGCGGAGACGAAGGGTGAATCGAACCCCGTCTAGATGACTCTCTACCACCAGCCTGCTTCCCAGCGGCAACGTTGCTACCACCTGAGCCACCGGCAACTACAGAGGTAGTAGTGGTGGCTACAGAATTAGTGTTAGCCGCATGTATGGACAGTTTGTGAGACTGACCTGCACGTTCTACCCTGTTGATTGATTGAATGAATGAATAAATAAATGAATAAAGAAATGTGTGTATGAATGTACGAATGAATAAATAAATTAATAAAAGAATGTATGTAAGAAAAAATGAACGAACGAACGAACGAACGAATAAATGAATGAATGAATGAATGAATGAATGAACAACCTTTTGCTATCCAGTTGTTTCAAGTATTCTGCAGGATCATCAGACATTCCAATCTCTTCCAGTTCCTTTACAGTGCATTTTTTCACCTTGAACTTTGCCAGGTATGGCGCTTTTGCAGCGCTACAGTATGTGTGAGTGTATGTGTGTGTGAATGTGCGTGTGAGTGTATGTGTGTGAATGTGTATGTGTGTGAGTGAATATGAGTGTGTGTGTGTGTTTAAGCAGCTGTGTTTGAAAAGGATTAGTTAGTTTGTAATCAATCAATTTCTCAACCAACCTATCGAATGAATGAATGAATGAACGAATGAATGAATGAATGGATGGATGAATGAATGGATGGATGAATGGATGGATGGATGAATGAATGAATGGATGAATGAATGAACAAATGAATGAATGAATGAAACACTTAACGATTAATGAAGCAGCCAGCCAACCAGCCAACCTCTGCATTGGGGTTCCAGAATTATAATCAATATCAACGACAATGGCTTCAGGATTGGAGGGCAGGTAGCAGCCGACTTGCAGGGGCACCTCCCTCAGGGCCTTCAGACAGGCCCTCTTACGTTCCTCACCTTTCGGGAAGGGTCTGAATGATGATGGTGATGAAGAGGTGGTGAGATGATGACGAGTCGTAGTGAGTGAATTATGAGAATAATGAGTAGCTGGTTATGAAATCTTTCGCCAAACTTTTCCAAAAATGAATGGTTGAAAAAAAAGGCAGAAAACTAACTTAATGATCCTAGAAATGTCGGTGATCTTGAAGAAGAACTCGAACTCTCTCTCATAGAACAGCCTAGCCGCAGCTGTTGACGATTTCTTGATCTGCTCCATTAGATTTTCAAGGATCTCGCCAATCTGGTCTTTTTAAAGGAAAAAAAGAGATACATACACACATACATTCACACATACGAACACACGTACAAACACACATACAAACACACATACATTCACACATACGAACACACGTACAAACACACATACATTCACACATACGAACACACATACAAACACACATACATTCACACATACAAACACACATACATTCACACATACGAACACACGTACAAACACACATACAAACATACTGACCATCATACAGGAGACCTTCCTCGTCTTTGAAAATGTTCGTCTTCATGTTCCAGATGAACTGGTGGGCTAGAACTTGAGATATCCCGCAGGCCCACAAAATAAACTCATACACGTAACCCATCTGATCGAGTTTAACATTCATTCTTTTATTCGTTCTTTCTTTCATGCATTAATTCATTAATTCATTCCTTCATTCATTCATTCACTCATTCATTTGTTCGTTCGTTCATTCATTCATTCATTCATTTGTTCGTTCGTTCATTTATTCATTCATTCAACCATTCGTTCATTAGTTCATTTATTCGTTCGTTCGCTCTTTTCTTCATTCAATCATTCAGTCATTATTCAATTCAATTATTTGAATGGTTAGTGTCATTTCAACTCGTTAAGAATCATCGCCATGAAACTAGTCATAATAAACATCGCCATCATCATCATCATCGTCACCATCATCATCATCATCGTCACCACCATCATCATCATCATCGTCACCATCATCATCATCATCGTCACCATCATCATCATCATCGTCACCATCATCATCATCATCGTCACCACCATCATCATCATCATCGTCATCATCATCATAACCTGCTGATTGACTTGTNCCTGATTGAACTTCCACCTCCTTTTAAAAGACTCAGCATAATTATCCTCATTCATAATCTTATACAGAGCCTTCCTCAGAGTCAACTTTCTATCATGGAAGCCCCACATACCTAATTATGTAATTGGGTCACGTCCATTTATCATAATGGATATATGCAATTAGGTCAAGTTGATGGTCACACGTTACACAGTTGGGTCAAGATGTTTAAGATGTGCAATTGAATGAAAGTGTTCACTAGAAGTCATGCTGAGAGGCCGGTTGATAGTTAAGTCATGTGAACGGGTCAAACTAGTAAAAAAAAATTCACTAACCTAAAGAGACAGCATGCAGCAAGCAGTTCCCATCTCCTGTTGTCATCAAGGGCAGCAACCTTTGACACAGTTTTTTATCATGCCACCAATTCAGCCGACCTAGATTTAAGTTTTTATCGTTATATTTTCGTCAGAAAATCTGTTTTTTTTTTATTTTGTGTTTTTGGATTTTAAATAAATTGATTTTTGATTTTGATTTAAAACTTTTTTTTCAAAGAAATAAAATCTCGATGCAAACATTGCATCAAAACGAAGAATTGAAATTAAATACACTATCAATCAATACTGACCACCAAAAATTACTAAGCATAGACTAATTAGTCACTATAATAAAAACAATACGGGGCACAATAACGAAACGAAACGAGACTGAAACGAGACGGAACGAGACAAAATACAAACCGGCTTGCTCTAGAGAGACAAGTGTTGAGGTCTCAATAAGTTCCTTGTGTAGGAACTCTCTGAATTCTACTGAAAACTTATTGAAGTTTGGCAACATGAAGGAGTGCTTGTATAAGTCAGTTATCTGATTGATTGATTAATGAATGAAAGAATGAATGAACGAATGAATGAACGAATGAAAGAATGAATGAACGAATGAATAAATGAATGAATGAATGAATGAACGAATGAATGAATGAACGAATGAATGAACGAATGAATAGATGAAAACCTCATTATAAGCGTTTTCATTGGCAATAGAATACATGGACTGCTGTATTGTCAAGAGCAGGTCAATATTCACATCTATGTTTGATGGACATCTCTTTAGCTTTGTAACTTTTGTAGTGGTTGGGGAAGAGGTTAAAAGTGAATTTAAATGAAACATTAAAAGTGAAAGTAAACAAAATGCTGAAAGTGAGTTTAAAAGAAACACTAAATAAAAGTGAATCTAATTAAAATAAACTTCTTCTAATTTTGATTTAAAAACTCACTCTAATGATATGTTTTTCAAGAAAACATGATGATTTAGAAAAACTTACTGACTGCACTCATGAATAATGATTATGATATAAATGAAAATAAAAACAATGGTAATATGAAGAACAAAAATGATGAAGATGATGAGAATGATGATGATGAAGATGATGTGGTAATGATGATGATGAGGATGATGTGGTAATGATAGTTAAAAAAACTCTTACTAGTAGAAACATTAGCACTGAAAGGTCTAAGATAATTATCAATAACTTGATCTTTCAAATCGACATTATCTATCAGGCCATCAACTTTTGCACTAATTAGATTATTCTGCTTTTCATCCGTAACATTTTTATTTTTATTTAGAGTCTTTTCATTAATGACATCATCATCTTCATCATCTGTAATGAATGGGTTGATGATTTTGATATTCTTTTTCACAGGTTTCAACTTGGTGAAGTCATTTTGTTGGGGTAACTTTAAAGAAATTTTTGTTGTTGTTGTTGTTGTAGGAGACATCAACAAAGAAGTAGTAGTTGTTGTTGCTGTGTTAGTTGATGTTGTTAATGTTAGAATCTGAGACAAGCCAGTAGGAGTTACAAGTGTTTGTGATGACGAGGAGAGCACTAATGAAGATACAGCAACATGGGATGAAAATTTTTGGCCTGAATTTGTAGAAATAGTAGTAGAAATGATCGGATGTTGTAGAGTCATGTCATCTTTTTGTTTAATAATTTGTTGGATAGGCTTTGGGGTTGGGTTTGGAGGGGGCTTCTTGCATTCAACCACATCCCACCCATGTTCTGGGAATAATTTCAATCATTTTATTTATAATAATATCATGTAAAAACATAATCGAATGAAAATCCATTCTAAAAATCAAGAGCATTTAAAAAAAACCTTTTAATAATTGGCAGGCGAGCATTGCCTGAACTGATTTTTTGGAAGACTTTGTACATGATGATGGTAAATCTTGGTCCTGCTGGTTCAGGTTGTTGCAGCTAGTTTCAGAATTCATAAGAAATTTTTAACAGAAGAAAGCGATGCGAAAAGTTTTGCAATTTTATGAGAAATATAAAATGATTAAAACCAAGAACAAATATTAAAATGGCTTTCTTTTTGGTTGCAAAATCAGACGAAATAAAATTATAATGACATTAAGTTCATTTTTAATATGCGAAATTCCAATTTTTAAAAGGAAATGGAGATAAATAAGGTCTATCTAACTTCATCAACAGCCGCTTCAAGAACATACGTTATATCTCACAATTAAACAATCGATCTCATCTGAATTGTGTTTATATATTTAGAAAATATTTTTGTTTAATTTAATTTAATTTTGTAATTGACCTAAATCATGTGAAAATGTTAAAAAACTGCGTAAAATAGCCTACCTTTTGACATGCATTGTTCAACTTTTGACACCCTTTGTGAACTTTTGTAATAAGTGGAGTGATTAATTCAAAGTTCGGGTTGTTATTTGTGACGAAATTTAGTGCTAAATTCTTAAATATTTCTTTCAATTCTTCTGAAAGTATATAAGGAGGTGAGTTTTGTGAGTATGAATAAAGTTTGACTTTAAAATATTATTTTTGACGTATATTTGTATCATATTTTCGTTTCCTGCTTTGCCTTGTGACTTTTGACTCACGTCACACTTCATAAATAAATTTAATTACATCAGTATTTTTATCATTTAGTTCGAAGTATTAGTGAAAGTTAGCTTAATATTCTAAAAAAAACTTTGATATGTTTCGCCAGAACCAACTGAAGATGGCAAACAGTGGTGCTGAACACCAGGAACACTTTTTCAAGAAAGTTTCCAACTTGCCTGTCATGGAGACTGCCCTCAACCAGCTGAACTTTCTCTACCTGAAAACCAAAGAGAAGAATCGTTTCCTGGAGATGGCCATGAACGCCACAGAGTTTGGGGCTCAGGTGGCCTACAACACTGCTGCCCCGGTCGTTGGAAAATTTGATAAACAGAGTGAGTGAAGATTTTATTAAAAATATTAAATTAGTTTAGTTTACTATTCTTTACAGTTAACTCATTTGTGTTTGTTTGTCATACACTAAACTAATTTTACAGTAACTTAGATATTTTTTACAACAAAGAATAGTTTTGTTTACTTACATTACAAACATTGAACATTAATTATTTAATGAGTCATGACATATACAAGCAAAATTTTCAATCATCTTCTTAATTCAGTTGAGGCACTGAATGACTTGGCTTGTAATCAGTTGAATAAGTTGGAAGAAAAATATCCAATCATCACAAAGCCTGCCGAAGAGGTGGTTTTCAAGTTCTTATATAATTGTGCATAGTTACTAAAAAGATTAATTAGGCTTTTTGTAGCGCATAAAGTTATAAACTAAAAAATTCATGCTCGTTCCTTCTTCTTTTTTTGTAAGGTTGTCAAAGCCACTAAAGATTATGGATACAGTTTTGTTAATCCAGTGCTTTCCAACATCAAGTCAATCCAGAACACGGCTAACCAGATGACATCATTTGGGAGCAAGAAAGTAACCGACAAAGCTGCCAACATCCGGAATGTAGCAGACGCAGAAAAAATTCTGCTGACTGAAAAGCTGAAGGAGGGGAAACAGAAAGTGGATGAAGTTGTAGTAGCTGGTGTTGAAAAGGTGCAAAATGATGCCATGACTTACACTGGTAATGTTATGAGCTGCATCAACGCCACTGCAGTGTATGGCATTGATAAGTTGTCCAAGACCTACCTTGGCAAGATGGTGGTGTCAAGTGTTGACCTGGGATTGGACAAAGCTGATTTGTACCTGGATTACTACTGCCCCCCTGGTTAATTGCTGCAGTTGTTAATTAATGAAGATTTAATTATATTTGGTAGATGTTGAAATATTTATTAGCTGGTTGTTAGATGAAAACACTTGCTTCTGTATTAAAGCATTTCTTAATATTCCCACTATGTAATTCACCTGTGTTGCTATTTTATAACAGATGAGACTGAGAGAAGATTTTCACCCATTGAAAATTTAGAAGGCGTGGTCAACAAGGCTCTTAATATAACCACCAAGGCCAGAAGACGTCTGCGCGGAAAGGTCGAGGAGAAAATTGGGTCAGTTCAGAAGAAATCTAGGTCATTGAGAGATGGATGTGTAGAAAAGGTTGGCCTCTTTTCTTATTCTGTTTTGAATGGCAAAATGGTTTTCAATATTTCAGCAAATTGAGAAAAAAAATTATCTAGTTGAAAATTTTTCAAAATATATTTTAAATTTACCAAAATTTTAATTCCAACAGATCAGAGATATAAAAACCAGTGCAGTTGAGAACCCGAGGGAGTTGATTGACAGTGCAGCGGTGGTTTCAAAAAGCACAGTAGAGACTGCAAAAAATATCATTGGAGACATCGCAAGCAGAACCAAAAATGTCGTTTCAAATGGTGTTGGTCTGGCTGCGCTGCCAATGCATATAACTCTCGATGTTATGGATGATGTTTTAAATAGATGGTCGGCGTATTACAAAGCAGGTATGTGTGCATTGGGGTATTTTGTGTGTGTGTGTGTGTATATATGTGTGTGTGTGTGTGTATTATGGGGTATTTTGTGTGTGTGTATATGTGTGTGTGTGTGTGTATTAGTTCATTGTGCATTAAATGATATATCAGCTGATGGTGAAGACGACGAGGGTGTTGATAGAGAGAAAGTGAAAAATATGGTCAGACTGGATCGAAAATTCTGGAATGTCAGTAAGAAAGTGAACAGTACCTCCGTTCAGCTGGTGTCTTACATGGTTAGTTGAGTCCTGCTGCTGTTGTTGTTAAAATTAACTCTAACCAATTTCTACACGTACATCCATGCTTATATGTGTCTGTTGTGTGTTGTGTGCATTGTCCTGGTTATGACATTAAACTGACCCTCACTGCCTTGTGAGTGATGTTGGATCATCAAAGGCTAGGCCCACCGCTTATAACTGTGGTTGCGTAAGGAAGGGCGTCCTGCGTAAAAATTAGCCAAATAAATTACTTATGATGGAATGGCGTCGAGGGGTATTTCGGTTTCATCATAGGTAGCCAAACGGCAACTCCCGATCTCGGGGAAAATGTCGTCTAAACGTGTGTTGTTTGTTTTGTTGTTGTTTGTGTGTTGTGTGCGTACGTGGGCCAGCAATTAATTGCGTATAAAGTTTGAAAAATGTGTATTTTTAGATTCACCTTCCAAAGAACAAATACACAGCGGCAAAGAACAAAATTTTATTCGTTTGGTCGGAGATAAATCTCTCAGATGAAGAGATACTGAAAAGAATGAAAGAGGAGAGTAAAAAAAGAGATAATGATGTGAGAGAGGGTGGTGGAATGCTGGAGGAACAAGATGTTAGATTTTTGGCTTTTATTTTTCTTTTTAAAATTGTGATAATTCCGTAATATAATTAATTAATCAATCGATTATTTAAATTTGTAAATAAGTTCTAAAACTTCTGACAGACGTACGAAAGAAAATTTGTGGCCACAACTAGACACGCCTTACAGCAAGCTAAGTGGCTGAGTGACCCGATTTTTCACGTTCTACAGCTGACTAATCATCAGTTTTTTCTGCTGCTTGACCTGATTAAACATAATTTTATTACCGAGGTACGTATTGGTTGGCTTTTATGTTTTTTGGTTTAAGTAGTAATAGGCTTAGTAGTAGCAGCAGCAGTAGTAGTCTAGTAGATAGATTAGTTGCTGTTGAAGTTTTTCAAATTGCTATAAATATGGTAGTAATATTAATAACAATGTTTGTGTTCATTTTTTTCTCAATTTTAGAAAATCGTGGAAAATCCACTTTTAAACTTTTCTGTCGGTGGCGGGCCAGTCTCGATGTTTTCACAGCAGGCTTCAACAGCTGCTGGTGGCTTTCAGCAGCTGACAGCTGATCTTTTCAACAATCTATTCGTCACTGATGTGAGAGATCTTTAACTTGTTGTTCATGATTATTATTATTGTTGCTATTATTATTATTGTTACGATGATGATTGTGTAATGATCGAATGTTATCAGTATTATGATGATGTGATGATGGTGGCCAATCAGTCTGATGGTGGTGGTGATGATGATGATGACCAGTCTGATGGTGATGATGTTGATGATGGTGGGCTGGGATGATTGAAATGATTTTTTTATAATTTATTTTTGTTTAAAGACGAAAATACTGATAATTTTTTTTTGTTTTTTCCCCCCCCTCCAAAATAAATAAAATAACTAGGGAAAGAATAATAATTTGTCCGGAATTATGGAAAGTGTTGTTGAAAAAAATCTAGGTGGAGAAAAGAACCCTGAAAGATCTGATGATGATGATGAAATGGATGATGATGAAGATGAAGAAGATGAGGTCAAGGACGATGATGGAGCTGACCAAGAAGGGCACTGTGATGATGATGATGATGATGATGACCAGTCTGGCCGCGGCGATGATGATGATGAAGATGATGGCGATAGTTATGATCGTCATTAAATTCCAGAATGATTTGATTCATTTCGCCTTCTTTCTAACTTTTGTATCGGCTTATTATATCGCACATAAATGATTGATTGAATAAATGGATGAATGAATAAGTGATTGATTGAATGGATGAATGAATGTATGAATGATTGAATGATTGACAATTTTGCTGTTGCTAATTATGTAGTTTTTCAGTGATTTAACTATATTTTATTGATTTATTTCTGCTGTTCAAGTGCTTGTAACGTTAAAAACACCCAGACGTTTGACGCAAAGACATTGTTATAAACTTATTCTTGAATGTTTAACTTTCTACGGCACTGTTGTTTTTTTATAAAATAAAAGGAAGATGCTTATGTTGTTTGACTTTGAGTGCCACAAAATTTATTTAAAAGGGTTTTTTTTATCACAGATTTTGCAGTTGCCCCACGCAAACTGGACTTTGTTTTTGAAATTTTTGTTACTTTTCGGATTAATTACTTCGATTTTAATGATCTAATTAATTAATTAATTTAATTAAATTTCTCTTATATTTTCCTTGCTAGTTTAAGTAAGGCTTTAGTACGGTAGGAGTTATTGAATAACGGTTTAATGAATAGGATTTTTATATTTCCTATATTATGACAACTTTTTGAAAGATTTTAAATTGATAAAACCTTAAAAAATCCTGTTGTCGCCGTAGTCATAAGCTACAAAAGCGGCCACACTCGTGACAGAAACAATAACGACATCTAACAATAATAAATTAAAAGTCTCAAGAGTTTGGCGTTTTTTTCAACCGAGAAATAGAGTTAATATGATCACGCAGGCATTTTTGCAAATGTGCGTGTATGTGTGTGTGTGCGTGTGTGTATGTGTGCGTGTGTTTATGTGTTACTAATAAAATGAAGGTCTCGTTGATAAATATTATTATATTTTTTATTTTATTCAGAGAAAACTGCATTTGAATGGTTATCGTGTTGAGGATATTATGCTAGTATGATGATATTTCCGCATTATTTGCGTATTGGAAAGACCGTGGGAATGGCTGAAAATTTGATGAAGTGTCAATTAGGGATTTGTGGACAATGCAGACCGTTAAACTTGCATATACACATACATTCATTTATGACACACACGCACACAAACACATACATACTTACATACACACATACAACTTACATACACACATACATACATATATATACATGCATACATACATATATATACATGCATACATACACACACACCCGTGGTAGTTGAATAATGAATGAGTAGGCTTGCATTCGAGCCCGGTCTATGATGATCAAGTCCCAATTCATCACTTCTTCTAATTATCTTTCTCCACCTCTTAAATACATCTGCTATAATAACTGCAGAAATAATGGGGAAGTATTGTAAAAGATAGAAAACGCCAGAGAAAAATGAGAGAGAGAGAGAGAAAGAAAGAGAAAGAGAAAAAGAGAGAGAAAGGGAGAGAAAGAAAGAATGTGGCCAGCGAACGTCCAATTACGTGCACTTATGACGCGTGCATTATTAATGAGATGCATGTACATGTACACTGATGCATGTGATGGAGTGTGCATAATTGTACTTGTACACGTCATTGTCTCTTCAACAGCACACACACACACACACACACACACTTATATATATGTATGTACACACATAAACACATAAGTATGTGTGAGCGTATGTGATTATAAGTAAGTCAACATCAAAGTCTACGGAGTGACCAGACACACACGTACATATGGGCGTGTAATAGTGTGTGTGTGAAAATTGGTGTGTGTGTGGGTCTGTGTACATGTGTGTGTGTGTGTGTGTGTGTATAGTGTGTATATGTGTGTGTGTGGTGTGCTTGTGTGTAGGTTATTTTTTGTTTTCGTGCAACCCTTGCTAAAGTCATTAAAAAGTAGTAAATGGAGTTTATAAATTTTGCGGAAAATGCTTTCTTTTTTTTTGTTTTTTGTTTGCAATTTTTCCTGGAAGTATTGATAAATACATCGGTCTATCTAATCGACTCGACTCTTCTTAATCTTGATT